GGGGCCGCCGGCTGGCGTGCCGCTGCCGGTGCCGCCGCCGCCGCCGGCGGCTGGCGGCGCCTCGCCCTGCGCCTCGCCCACGCCCGCCACATGGTACTGCGGCTCCGAGGTGTGCTCCCCTGCCCAGCGCACGGTGCAGCAAGCAGCACAAGGCAGAGTGGGAACAGGGAAGCAGCGCCCTCCCTTCATCAGGTTGCTCCACCCAGCGCTGGCAACTAGGGGCCGGTGCACTCCCGCGGGCACAGGGCTGAGCTCGGCGCAGGGCGCGAGCACCCACCTGCCGCCTCTGCCGCCGACAGCGCCGTCTCGTCGTCGCCCGACAGCGCCGACAGCACCGCCGAGGTGCGCTCCCCAAAGCCGGGGTTGTGGGGCGGGTGGGCTCGGCTGATTTGGCTCCGCGGCACGCGCTGCGGAGAGGCAAACACGGGCGGGAAGAGTGCTGGCACGGCGTGAGGCGTGCGGCGAGCGCGGCACCTGCACCGCGCCGCAGCAGCCGATCGCGACCCTAGGAAACAGTCACACACACACCCCAGCCACGTCCACGCACGGATGGAGCTGTTGTGTGCTGCCGTGGGGGCATTGGGGCCTGGTGCACCGGCCCCCCCGCTCGACACCCCAGGCTCGGACGTCCTACTCACAGGGCTCTGAGCGGCGCCATAGTTGACGCTTCCACCCTGCTGCAGCGACTCGTCCCGATCCCCACTCGAGTTGTGCGACTCGCTGGCGGCCTGAGGAGGCCCAACACTGCCAGCGGCTTCCACATCCATCGCGGGTTGCCCGCTGACCGCTCAGCTGCTGTTTGGCTGCTCCCCGCGCATCGCTGTGCCTCTCGGTTGGCAGCTGCTTGGCTCCACAACGTGCTTCACAAGTGAAGCAGATGAGATGTGGAGGAGCCGGCAGAGGGGCGAAGGTCCTCAATGTGCCAGGTGACCTGGCGGTCGGCAAGCCGCGTCCCGCCTGCGGCATTGTTGGGAGCGGACTGCATGCGGAACCTGCCCTCTTTGGATCTACCTGGTGGGGCGCTAAACATGAGCTTTATAAAGCTTGAATGCAATGGGCAGTATCAGCGGGCGCTCCTACTAGCAATGCCCGTGCGAGCACTGTCAGTTGCGCTGGCGTCACGGGACAACTGTCCGTGCCATTACAGCAGCCAGTGAACTGATATGTCTGGCCGTGCTGCTCAAGGTACTGTTGTGTTCTGGGATGTTTTCAATGATACAACTCCATCACGACAACGAGGAACCTCTTGCGACACCCGCTGGTATCTGCTGCTTCCGACTCCTTGACATGTGTTGCCGTGAGCCCGCTTGCGAAGATTCAATGAGCTGTGCTTTCCATTGGGGTTGTGTGGACCCCCACCAATGTGGCAGGGGTGTCAGGCATGAGGTTGCCACACACTGAGGGGCGCTGCGCCGCAAGGCGGCAACCTGCTGTGCCACGTGTCATCGAGAGCCGCAAAATCCTGCGGCTTGGGGCTTCTTAGACATGAGGAGCCATGCAACATGGGCTTGTATGGGGCATGGCGCAGCCCTCCGGCAGCCAGGCCCTTGGACTCTCCCGATGAGCTGCTGGGCTGGACACCAGGCCACTCGAACGATCCCTGCAGGGCCTCGGTGACGCTGAGACCGCAGGTGACATCCCACCGGCCGCAGTGCGACACCAGCGCGTGCCCGCCGCCACCTCCCGCCCGCGCCAACACCTGGCACCGACCGCTCCTGCCCCCTTTGCCAGGCCATCCCAGCCGCAGCGCCTGTGTGCCTCATTACCTCTGCTGTTGCTGCTGCAGGCGGGAGGCGGTGAGGGGCGGGGCAGGCCGCGGCTGCTGGCGTGCCACGACATGGCGGGAGGGTACGGCGATGACCGCTTTTGTCAGGGCGGCTCCCACGCCGACTTCTACTGCCTGCGCCGCTGGCACTCCCTGGACGCCTTCTGCTACTTCAGCCACCGCCTGGTCACCATCCCGCCGCCCGGCTGGATCAACGCAGCGCACGCCCACGGTGTGCCGGTGCTGGGGACCGTCATCACAGAGTGGGAGGCGGGCGCGGCTGCGTGCACGCGCCTGTTTGGCAGCCCAGCGGCGGCAGAAGCGGCTGCCGCGCGGCTGGCGGCCATCGCGCGGCACTATGGGTTTGAAGGCTGGCTGGTCAACATTGAGAATGCGGTGGAGCGCCAGCACATCCCGCACCTGCTGCACTTCCTGCGGTGCGTGAGAATTCTCACTCGACTGCCTTGTGCGATGCCTTCAAGCCCCATGGCGGCGCCCACCCCATCCCATGCCTGTGCATCTTGCAGGGTGCTGACGCACCAGATGCGCCAGGTAGCGCCCGGCCGGAGCCAGGTTGTTTGGTAGGTGGCGTGGGGGGGGTGGGGGGGGGGGGGACGGCATGCCTTGGTCAGCGGCTGTTGGCATGGCCCTTTATGATACGCTTCTGCTGCCCGCCTGTCAGTGCACAGCAAGTAAGTGTGCCTTGCTGCGCTGTACCCTGGTCCAGGTATGATGCGGTCACGACAGAGGGGAAGCTGAAGTGGCAGAACACGCTCAGCCGTCTCAACAGGTTGGTCAAGTGTTGCGGCAGCTTGACATGTCACGGCCGCTCACGGCTTACGGATGACCTGCCGCTGGCCACTGGCAGCCACCCGCCTGCTGTTCATTGCTGGCTGTTTGTTTTACACTCCGCAGGCCCTTCTTTGACGCCTGCGACGCCATCTGGGTCAACTATACCTGGAAGAAAGGAACGCCGGCGCTGGTGCGGCTCGAGGTGCGCGCCACGCCATCCCTTCCCTCTCATCGCCTGCCATGTCCGCCGCCGCGCGTGCGAGTTCAGGAAATGCATGCACCCGTTCCATGTGTCAACACCGCAGCGCCGAGCGCCTGCTCATGTCTGCGCCCGCGTCTGCTGCTGCTGCAGGCGGGGGAGCGGTGCGCGGATGTGTTCATGGGTGTGGACTGCTTTGGGCGCGGCACCTATGGCGGCGGCGGCTTTGCCTGCGATGTGGCCCTCAGGGCCTGCCTGGAGCAGGGACTGTCAGGTGGGGTGCATGGTGGAGGGAGGGCGCTCCTCCCGCTGGCAGCCTCCCGCCCGCCTGTGGTGCCAATGTAGTGGAGCGCCGCCGCGCCATGGCCGCTGCCCTCTGCAGCCGCGCTGTTTGCCACTGGCTGGCCGTACGAGGGCGACTGCGGGGCAGACGCGCCTGCTTGCTGGCGGCAGCGCGACGCCCGCTTCTGGGCCTGCATCGAGAGCGCCTGGGAGGGCGGCAGCCGCGCCAGCAGCTCCAGCCCTGGCAGCAGCGCTGCCAGAGGCGCCATCCAGGAGCTGCCGCTCTTCACTGACTTCAGTGTAGGCAGCGGGCACAGCATGTACCAGGCGGGGCGCCAGCTGTCGCCGCAGCCCTGGTACAACCTGAGCCTGCAGTCGCTGCAGCCGATGCTGCGGGTGCAGCTGGAGGATGGTGAGGAGGATGCGGGAGCGGCAGCGGCGGGCAGCGCAGGCGGCAGCAGACGCCAAAGCGGCAGCGCGGGCAGCAGCGGCAGCAGGGTGCAGGCAGATGTGTCGCGGGAGCTGGCATACAGCCGGGGCAGCAGCCTGAGGTTGAGCGGCTGCTTGCGACCGGGTCAGCAGGCAACGGTGCAGCTGTTCCGCACCGCAGTGCCGCTGCCTGCAGCCGGCATGCGGGTGCGCCTCTGTGCCACCCCGGCGCAGGGCGTGAAACAGAGGCTGGCGCTGCGCCTTGCTCCTGGCAGCAGCAGCAGCCTGGATGTCAGTGGCGGCAGCATCGAGCTGCTGCCTGCGGTGCGCCATTCAGGCACAGGCACAGACGACGGGGCAGGGGTCTCAGCAGCCAGCAGCTCCAGCCCCAGCTCCGCTCTGGTGCTGGCAGCCAGCAGCGAGCATGTGGTGCAGCAGCAGGGCTCCACAGCAGCAGCAGCAGGTCCAGATGCAGCAGCAGCAGCAGCAGGGCCAGATGCAGCAGCCCCCTGGCCACAGTGGGTCACACGGTCGTACTTGATTGGGGCTGACATGCTGGCAGCCGGGCTGGCTGGCAGTGGCGACCCACTGCTGCTGACAGGCGTCGACGTGGTGCTGCTGGGTGCGGGGCGTGCTGGAGATGGCAGCCCTGCTCCCTTTGAAGTGCACTTGGGTGAGGCCAAGGGGCTAAAGCAGTGGAAGCAGGGTGCCACAGCTGCGTCGCTGTGGCTTGGTCTGCTTCATGACGTGACCACCTGCCCGCCACCGCCCTGGCTGCCTCAGCTGCCGATGAGTGGCCCTTCCTGCAGGCGAGCTTTGCATCGAGGAGGCGTTCCCCAATGGCGGCCCACCAGCGCCTCCCAGCAGCGTGCAGCAGCTCGCTTGCAGCGACGTTCGACTGGTGGCGGCGGCACCTGGGCCGGATGGCGCCCCCACTTCGGCACTCTCTGTGCGGCTGACGTGGCACGCACCGGAGGATGGCCTTGCCACGCGGTGCTGCCATGTGTGGTGCGCGTTTGGCGGCTGTGGCGACGAGGGCGCAGCGCCTCGCTGGCTGGGCGCCGCATGCTGCTGCGCCTACTGGCTGGCTGGCGTTCCAGTCCCCTGCGGCGCCACAGCGGTGACCTTCATGGTGCAGCCAGAGGGCTGCAACGGCTATGCTGAAGAGTTAGCGCGGGTGGCGCGGCTGGAAGTTGGCTTGCCCATGGAGGCTGAGGAGGCCCCTGCACTGCGGCAACAGGAAGCAGCAGAGGGGACACTGCAGGAAGGGGACGGGGCGCTGGCGCTGACCTGGCGCGGCCTGTGCCACACCCTGCAGCAAGCTTTCCGCGCTTTGAGGGATTGGAACGTGTTTCAGTAGCTGCTGCCTAGCAATTGAGCTCGCTTTTTCGGTTTCAAACCTTCGCACGCTCCAGTCAGTTTGGCGGGCTGGCGGGGCGGTAGAGCTCTCCGGCGCTACACGAGCAGCACACTCACAGTCAGGCAAGGTGGATAGGCTGACACGCCTCGCGGTGCTGACCGCCCGCCCCTCGCGCGTCCAATGCGCAAGGGGGCATGCCGCAATTCGTTCCTAGTGCCTGTGTACGTAAATCTATGGACGTAAAGCTCGCAATTCGGCGAGAGTCCTGGGCCCGCGCTATACTTTCACTCTGGCGGTGGACCCACCGCCACGCCCGCTGCCGGCTTGCTTCGAGGCTTGCCCCGCACATTGCTTGCAGGCATAGCATGGCAGAACAACAGACGTCTGTCGGCAAGAAGGTACGGGGCGTCGGCAGCCTACGCAGCGGGTTTGGGGAGCAGGTGAGCAGACGCAGTCTGGTTGCGGGCAACTCCCGTTCTTACAAGAGGCGGCGGTTGGGGCAGAACAATCAGGGGAAGCGGCTACAGTGTTGGGGCACCCAGGAAGGCTGGACTGGCCCCAAAGTCTCCCTCGAATCATATCAACTCCACCCTCCCAACTTCACCCCCACACCCCACCCCACCCGCAAGCGCAGCCAACCTCCAACCGCCCCTCGGCGCCCGCCGCCGGTTTTGGCAGCAGCTCCCGCGACGCCTACCAGAAGCAGTTTGCCAGCACAGAGGTGGACAAGGCGCAGGCGCGGTCGCGCGGTAACATCGACAACCCGCTCGGCGCCTGCTACGCCATCCCGGTGCGGGGGAGGGTGCCCGCAGGCAGCCCCACGGCACCGCCGCCGCCGGGACACAGCCCAATCTGCCCAGCTGAGGGCGCGCCAGCACACAGCCGTTCCTCTGTGCTAGGCACAGAAGCAAGCCTGGGAGCCCTGGGTAGCTCACAGTCGAGGACTTCTCGGCTGCCCTTTACCATCCATCACCGGGCATGTACTGCCCTGACTGTACTGCTGTGTACCGCCTGCAGGACACCATTGAGAAGCAGGTGCTCAGCACGCAGCCATCGCCTCCCCGCATGCGCTTTGGCACCGGCAAGCGCCCCAGCATGGCGGTGAAGACGGATGCGCCGGGGCCGGGCGCCTACAAGATGAGGCCCGCCATCGGTGGGCCACCCACGCGGGCTGGGGGCAGTGGCGGCGGGCTGCCGTGGCCTTCCTAGACCACAGCTCAAACCCGTCTTCGGCTGCATGTTCATGTTCATGGCCCGGGTGCAGCCCCGGGGTCATGCCACCTCAGCATGCCACCTCAGCATGCCACCTCAGCATATGCCGCCTCAGCCTGCCGGAGCCAGCAGCGACCCGCCGCCCACCTGCCTGCCGCCGCCGCTGCCTGCCGCCTGGCGCAGGCGACACAGTGGAGTCCACGCGGGCCAGCGCCCCCCGCATGAAGTTTGGGTCTGGCAGCCGCGACCAGGCCAACCGCCTGTTCATCAGCTCGGAGCACGAGAAGTGCCAGGTGGGCGGGCGGGCACGGCTCCATGGCCAGCGGAGGAAGCATGCGGGGAGACAGGCGGGGACAGAGCCGGGCAGGGCGGTCCAGGGCTGCCAGGCATCGCAAGCGCTGTGCAGCCTCGCCCATGCTTGCTGAAGCTTCAGTCTGTGCATTCTTGTGTTGTGGGCGGCACGCAGGTGGGCGTGGACAGCCCCGGCCCGTCGTACAACCTCCCCGCCGGGATGGGCCGGCAGCAGGTGAGTGGCAGGACGGGGTGGCTGCTGCCGCCTGCCAGGCAGCAGTGTGCTGTCCTGGTTGCCTGTATGGTGTCTGTAAGCCTCTCCCGCAATGTAAGATGCGCTGCTTCGGCCCTGCTGCCTCAGTTCTCCCCCCGCACTTGTTCTGGCAACTGCCTGCTGCACAAGCCTGGGCGCCACCTGCCCCTCTCCCCACAGCTGTCCACCAAGAAGAGCCCGGGCACGTTTGTGATGCCCAAGGGGCAGCGCTTTGTGGACAACGATGTGCGGGAGGCGGCGCAGAAGGTGGGGGGGCGCCTTGCCTGGCACGGGCCTTGCCTGCCATGCGAGTGGCATTAGGCATGGCACTCTGTGCTTGGAGCTAACCCCGCCTGCTCATGCTGCCACGCCTCATCCCTGCTGCACTTGGATGGCACAGCCTGGAGCGGGAGCCTACAACGTGCCCAGCAGCATCGGCGGGCAGGCCGACAAGGCTGCCGTGGTGCGCTGGCAGTGCGGTTACGGCTGGCGGTAGCGGCTGGCGGGGGCTGGGTCCACTGCGTTGATAGCGGCGTCCTGCCCTGCCCTCCCCTCTGCAGGCGGCATCCACGCTGCGCAACAGCCCCACCATCCGCTTTGGCACAAGCAGTGAGTGGCGGGCAGGGCTGGGGCAGGCAGGCTCCCCTGTGGGCAGTCCAACGCCGCGCCGGCTCTTCTCCAGGCGTGCCACATCCACACATGCTGCCTGGCCATGCTGCCTGCCCCCTCCACTGCCCGCAGCACGCGACCAGGACGCCAAGGTCTTCATCAGCCAGGAGCACGAGAAGGGCAGCTACGGAAGCTGCAGGTCAGTGCAACAATGGCACGCCGCTGTCAGCACTGGTGGTGTGCGTGCCACCACTGCCCACCACCTGCAACACCCCCAACAGCCGCTGATGGCAGGGCAGCACTGGTGCAGACTGCGCTCCCACTGCATGCCACGCCCCACCTCCACCACCCACCCTGCCCCTCCACCCTGCAGCCCGGGCCCCGTCACCGCCAACCCCGCCAGCAGCATGGGCCGCCAAATCCTGTCCACCAGGTCCTCGGGGGCGTGCCTGGGCTTTGGCACCGGCAAGCGCCTGGTGGAGCACGCCACGGATGTGCCGGGGCCGGGTGAGCACGCAGCGGGCATGGGCTGGGCATTTAGAGAGATGTCGAGTACAGATGGTATGGCTCTGTGGTAGCTGAGCCATGCTGTGGATGCTGTGGTCAACGTGTCATGACCAGCCCACTGTTCCCCTCCCGCCTGCTGCCTGCTGCAGGCGCATACTATGCGTGAGGGCGGCGGCAGCGGGGGAAGTTCGAGGTGACGGGGACCTTACAACCAGGCGCTCCCTGGGAGGGCGGTTGGGGCAACTTTTGGTGTCAACGTTATCAGGGAGGAAACAACAGCATTAGGCAGGCTATTCGATGGCAGGGCGCCCTATAAGAAAGTGTGAGACAAGAAAGTGTAGGACAAGAAAGAACAACAGCTTAGGCAGGGAAAAAGAAAGATAGAGCAGCACTGGAACGACTTCATGGAGTGCAATTCGGTCAGCAGCACTGCGGCATCGGGTCCACCACGTCAAAGGTGTCGGGGCGGGACTTGGCCCGGTACTCCTCCATCTCCCGCTCGCGCCGCCGCACCTCCGCCGCCGTCAGCGGCACGTGGCTGGCCGCCATGCGCTCGCAGCGGTACTGGTGGCTCAGGGCGACGCGGCAATGCTGCAGGGCCATGCCGTCGATGCCCGCGGTGCGGCGCCGCGCGACGGCTGCGGCGTGCTCCAGCTGGCGGCGCTCGGCCACGGTGGAGGCGGTCAGCTCCAGAAGCTCCGTCTGCAGCGCATCGATCTGCAGCGCGCGCGGGGGGCAGCAGGCAGGGGCGGGGCACGTAAACGCCAAGAGCGTGGCCAGCGGTCGTGGCAGCAGAGCGTGCAGGGCTGGACGGCTGCCAGGTCGAGCCCCGGGACCCGCCACGCGGCGCGGCGCGCACCTGCTGCGCCGCCTGCTGGCGCTCCTGCTCGGTGGCCGCCCTCATTTCCGTCTCCTCCTGCTCCACCGTCGCCGCCCGGGCCTGGCTGCGCGCCAGGCGGGCCTGCACCTGCCGCGCCTGCTGCCGCGCGCCGGCCGTGCGGGCGCGGCACTCTGCCAGCAGCCCCGCCTGCAGCTGCACGTGCTGCTGCACGGCGGCCAGCTCCCGGGCCAGGGCCGACAGCCGGGCCCCCTCCGCGTCGCACTGCGACTGCTGGCGCCCCGCCAGGCGCAGCGTCTGCAGCGCCGCCATGCTGTGGCTGCTGCGCACGCCGCTCCGCAGGTCGGCCGCTGCCAGCATGGCATCCAGGCTGTCTGCCACCTCCTGGGGCAGCACCGGCTCGATGGCGACGGCATGCTGCAGCCCTGCCGCCTCCTCGGCACCGGCGCCACGCTCCGCCTCCTCCTCTGGGATGACCGCTGCGTGGGCGGCCTGCCAGCGCCGCGGCGGGCGCACCGCCGCTGCCAGTGGGCGCAGCACTTGTTGCACGCCCTCCAGGGGCCTGGGAGACTTGAAGAAGGCCTGCAAGGGGGAGCGAGGCATGGAGGCATGTGAGCGGGAGGCATCCCACCGCAGGTAAGCGTGGCCGTTGTTGCGCCAGCAGCGGCGCCGCCACCGACGCGCACCGAGATGGTCCACCGGTCTGTGGCAGCGGCGGGCGAGGCCTGGTCCTGGTTGCACGTCGTTTGCAGCTCTTGCAGCTTGCTGGACCGGCTGCCTGCAGCAGATGTGGCACGCGCTGGCGCCTTAGACCATTGGGCGGCGGCGCGGAGCGCAGAAGGTGGGGCAAACAATGCAAATGACACTGAGGCATCTCACCCTTGTCATTGCCGGCGGGGCGGAGGCCAAAGAGCTGCTTGGCTGCCAAGGCCACGCGGGGGAGCGCCATGACGCAGGAGGCACTGTTGGCGGGTCTGGGGGTCTTCAGTATGTCTGCCAAATAGTCTGGAATGCGCCACCGGCCCAGTAATGGCCAAACGAGACACGCCGCTGCGGCGCCTGCTGCCCACGTCGACGGTGCAGTGAATGCTGCCGCAGAGCAGCGCATCGCATCCCGAAAGAGTTGCACTGGATGTGTGGACCGCCCTGCCACTGTCAGAGCTCAAACGAGTCACTTGGACTTGTGTGGGACTTGCCCAGAGCATTTCAGGCGGCCATCTCTGGCGGAAAGATAGAGGGAGTGTGACTGGTATAGTTGGAAGCGCCTGGCACGGCATCAGGGCAGCATGGAGGAAAATGCCTACCAGCTGCTCGGCCTGGAGCAGGGCCCAACGGCGACGGAGGCGGAGATAAAAAAGGTGCGGACAAGCGCATCGTTTGGGAGCGCTGCCAGGCCGGGACGGTGCTCCGCGCGCCGCTGCCGCCGCCTGCTCCCCGCCCCTGCCCCGCTCACGCGACGCGCTGCGGCCTCCGCCTTGCAGGCCTACCGCAAGCTGGCGCTGGTCAAGCACCCAGACAAGAACCCGGACAACCCGGCGGCGGCCGATGAGTTTGCGGTGCTGCAGAAAGCTTACGACCTTCTCACCGACAAGGAGGCCCGCGCCGCGCTCGACACGCTGCTCCAGTGCGCCCCGCCCGCCCCCCTGCTGCCGCCTGCTGCTGCCGCTGCTCTGGATGGTGGTGCCAGGAGGCTGCGCGGCTGGCGCCGGTGACAGAGTGGCTGGCTTTGCTGTGCTGGTGCTGCTGCCCTTGCCAGGCAGCGGCCTGCCCCCAACGCCGCTGCCGTCGGGCCGTGCCGCTGCCTCTCTCTCTACCTCGGCCTGCCTGCCAGCCTGCCAGCCTGCCCACGCTGCTGCCACCCGCGTCCTGCAGGGCCAAGGCGCTGCGCACTGAGCGCATGGCGGGGCACGACGAGAAGCGGCGGCGCATGATGGAAGACTTGGAGCGGCGGGAGAAGGGGTGGCAGGCGGCGCGCACGCAGGTGAGGCGCCGCGCCCTCGCTTCAGCCCTGTGTGCTCCCTTGTGGCGCAGCTGGCGAGCCGGTTGCACCCAGCCCGGCCAGCCCATGATCCTGCCTGCCTTGCTGCCGTGTGTTGGGGCGGCCTGTGAGTTTGCAGGAGGAGACGGCGCGGGCCAAGCTGCACTCTGAGATGGAGCGGCTGCGGCGGCAGGCCGCCGAGCGGGCGGCAGGCAAGGCGGCAGAGCAGCGGGCAGCTGCCGCTACTGCGGCGGCGGCAGCCACGGCGCAGCACGCGGGGCAGCAGGGCGCGGCGGCTGCCGGCCCGGGGCGGGGCGGGGGCGGCGGCGCTGGGGGGGGGCCGGCGCCGCCTGGGGAGGTCAGCGAGGAGATGCAGGAGCGGCTGGGGCGCACCCTCAAGGTCTCGTGGTTCAGAAAGGTGCGCCCCGCTCCTGCTGCGCTGCCCCTGCCCCTGTGCTCCTGGCCTTTGCGCCGGGCCTCTGCCCCGGGCAGCAACCAGCGCCGCCGCCGGCTGCCGCGCATGCGGCGCGCGGCCAGGCCTGCCACCTTCCCTGCTCCCTGCTCCCTGCTGCCTGCTCAGTCCAGCCGGTGCCGGCCGCCGCCTGCCCGCCGTGCCGCCTGCTGCAGGATGGAGAGTATGGCGCTGCGCAGCTGCGCCAGGCCTTTGCGGCGCACGGCCCGGTGGAGGATGTGGTGCTGAGGGAGGGCAAGAAGCGGCGAGGCGGTGCACTGGTGGTGATGGCGGAGGCGGCGGGCGCCGCCGCCGCGGCCGCAGCCGTCACCGGCCCGCTGTCCAACCCGCTGCTGGTGGTCCCTTTCAACAAGGCGGCGGCCGGCGGCGGCGGCGGCGGCGGCGCCGCCGCGGACGAGCCGGGCGGCGGCGATGCGCATGTGCCAGCTGGCGCGCCGCCGCAGGACAGCCGCCCCGCGGCGGCCGTGTTTGGTGCCGCGGCGGCGCACGTGAGGCATTCCGCCTCGGCGCCCGCGTTTGCGGCGGGGGCGGCGGCGGCGGCGCCGGGAGCCGGCCTGGGCCGCCCGCCTGCCGCCCCGCTGTTTGCTGCGGGCGCGCGGCCGGGCAGCAGCGCCTCGCAGCACCAGCGCCCGGCGGCCTCGCTGTTCCCCGGCGCGGGGGCGCAGCCAGCGGCAGCCGCAGCCGGCGGCGCCAGCCGGCCGCTGTTTGGCGCCGGCGCCACGGCGCCAGGCAGCAGCGGCGGCAGCGCGCCCGCCTTTGCCTCCTTCTCCTCCTTCCGCCCCTCCTCCTCCGCCGCCGCCGTGGGCTCGCTCAACGGTGGCCTGGAGGACGCCACGCTTGCCAAGATGCGGCAGGCGGCGGAGCGGCGGCGGCTGGTAGAAGAGATGGAGCGAGGCGACGAGGGCAGCTAGGCTCGCTCCTGACCCTGCGGGTGCCTGCCCGTCTGTGTGCACATGCTGCTGGTTGTGTCCGGCGTCTGTACAGTGCAAGGCATGAGACGTTGGAGGCAATGGAAGGGGCACAGGCATAGCAGGCATAGCAGGCATAGCAGGCATGTCGGCGCCGGGGGCTGCACAGGGCGTGCGGTGCACAGGTCGCAGCTGTGTACACAGGGCAGGCGGGTGATGATGGTTATCGAAGCAGGATTCGTTCCGAGAGGGTGGGGCAGCGAGGTCAGAGGATGGGAAGATAAGATGACAGCCACTGAGCAATGTAAATGGGCAGGTGGGGGAGCTGAGCAGAACGGTGCCTGGTGTTCTCCCTCCCTACTCCTGCTGCGCCTCCCGCTTCAGGGCCTCGCCAATCATCTTGTCAGTCTGCTCCCACAGCCGCCGCGCCAGGTCGCCGTCCTGGGCCAGCTTGGACGGGTGGCAGAAGCGGCGGCCCCAGTAGCCCCGCGCCGTGCTCCCAATCTGGCAGTCAGCCAGGTACTCGCCTGCAGCGCGGAAAGAAGAACACAGCTCTGGGCAGGCTGGCTGAGCGGCACGACAGAGCAATCAATGCAGCAGGGCTGCCCGCCCCCGCCACTGCCAGGCGGCCAGGCAGCCATCTTGCCGCAAAGTGTAGCGGCAGTGGCCGCCCTGCCGCTCGCACAGCCGCAGCGGCTCACCCGAGTGCCCCTCCAGCTCTGGCGCCACGCAGCCAAAGATGGTGGTGGCGGCGCCCTGCGGGGCAGCGGGACACGGCACGAGAGAAAGTGGGCGGCGGGGTGGGCGGTTCCGAAATGGAAGGCTGCTGCAATCACCTCCAGCAGCGGGCATACCAGCACATCCCCCACTTCTACCCACTCTATTCATGTGCACACCCACCCACCCACCCACCCCGCACCTGCGGCACAGTCTTGCTGCCCAGCAGGCCAGCCAGGCCCGGCACCGCGTTCACCAGCCGCCATGTGCGCTGCAGCGCGCCCTTGCCCGCCATGTGGCGGCTGCAGGGAGCGGGGCAGGAGCGGCAGGGCAGGCGGCGGCAGGTGGGTGGGCCGCCGGGCGTGCAGGCACAGCCCGTCTGCTCCGACAGAGGCCGGGCGCTGGCCAGGGCAGAGGGACGGCGGCCCAGGCCCGGCCTGGGTGCAGGCGAGAGTACAGCAGGGGGTGGCCCCTCGCCTCCCCACATGCCTGCCTGCCTGCATCCGCACATGCCTGCCTGCCGCGCCGCCCACTTGCCTGAGCGGCGTGTCGATGAACCCAGGGTGGGCGCTAAAGGCCTTGACCGCCGCACCCTCCTCCTCCATCCTGCGCCACGGGCGGCGCGGCCCACGCGCGGTGCGGCTCACATCCCGTGCACCAAAAAGCGGCGCGGCAGGGGCCAGCGCCGCCGTGGCCGCCGCCCGCCCGCCGGCACGGCACGCGCGGGCCGGCGCCGCGGCACGCACCTGCGCGCCAGCTCCCGGGCGAACAGCGCGTTGCTGAGCTTGCTCTGGCCGTAGGCGGGCCAGGCGGAGTAGGTGCGGCGCTCCCAGCTGAGGTCGTCCATCGGCAGCTCCTTGGCGAAGTTGTGGCCAAAGGAGGTGAGGGCCACCACGCGGGCGGGGGCGCCCTGCGGGCAGCGGGCGGGGCGGCGGTGGTGGCGGCGGCATGGTCGGGAACAGGCGCCGCCCAATCGGGGCCCTCGGGCGTGGGACCATGCAATTGCAGCAGCAGCAGGCGCTGCGACCGCGGGAGGGCAGCGGGGGGCGCTCCCAGCTGCTGCTGCGGCCTCCCACCTGCGCCTTCATCTTTGGCAGCAGCAGCTGGGTCAGGTACTGGTGGCCCAGGTGGTTGGTGCCTGAAGGCGGGGAGCGGGGGGGGGCACAGCGTGACCACAGCGGCATGCACATGCACACACGTGCGAGGCAGCAGCTCCACATCCGGCCCCCCTCCATCTGCGCAGCCAGGGCGGCAGCCAGCGGCGCAGCGCAGCGCTCACCCCACTGCGCCTCAAAGCCCTGCTTGGTGAGCGCCTTGGCAGGCAGGCCCATGATGCCTGCAGGCGGTCAGGAGGCGGGCAGCACGGCGAGCAGCCGTGGCGGGCCAAGCACCGCTGCACTGATCCGCCCCCCACGATGCGCAAAGCAGCGCTGGCCTGCCTGCCTCGAGCGGACACTCACACACACGACACTGCGGCCCCACCCCACCCCTATCAGCCTCACCCGCATTCAGCACCAGGAAGTGGATGGCGGGCAGGGAGGCCACCGCGGGCAGGCGGCAGAAGGCCTGCACGCTGCGCAGGTCAGCGAGGTCCAGCGGAGCCACGGTGATGCGCCCCGGCGCCGGCCCCCGCGGCCCCTCGCCCTCCCCGCCGGCCTCGCCCGCGCCCCGGGCCGCTGCCAGGCCGGCGGCGATGCCGTCGGCCACCTCCTGGCCCGCGGCCACGCTGCGGGAGCAGAGGACGACGTCGGCGCCCGCGCCCGCCAGCACGCGCACCGTCTCGGCGCCCAGGCCTGCGTGCCGGCGTGGGGGGAGGGCAAAGAGGTGTGCAGCGGCCATGTCATGAGCTTGACAGCACGATAGGAAGCGATTCGTTGCAGTAGAGGCCCAAGCAGCCCGATGCACATCAGCCAGCCGCCATGCCGCCGCCTGTGTGTAGGCGTGCCGTGGCCGCGCCGAGTCACCTGAGTTGCCGCCTGCACGGGTGCGGCAATGGGGAGGGCCAAGGATCAATTGCAGAGGTCAGGAGGACCCAAGGAGGGCTGCAGCAGCGGGGTGCTCTGCCGCCCCGCAAAGCACAGGGGCGGCCGTCTCTCACCGCCCCCCTCTCGGAGATCACCTGTGACGATCGCGCTCTTCCCACTCAGGTCCGCTCCCCTCAGAGCCTCAGTTGCAGTTGTGTAGAAGCCTAGGGCCGCCATCGCCCAGGAGCTCGTGTGTTTGCAAGTGGTTCTGGGTGTGAAAGGCAAGCGTTTGCAGGCTGTCGGTTCGCTTTAAGACGCAGGAGAGGGTGCTTCCAGAGACTCTCCTCTGGGTTGCATGATCGCCGGCGGTGCGCACAGCTGGCACCTGGCGTGACCGCAATGTACTGCGTTCGCTGCCCTGTCAGGGCTCATTGCGCCCCTGCACGCCTGCCCTACCCTCTTTCCTCGCAAGGTGACTCCCAATGAACCCTTGGGGCCTCCCAATACCGACAAAGCCCGCACTGGCGCACGCCGCCGCTGCCCACGGTGGCGGTGCAGGGTGCAGAGCTGCAGGTAGCGCTGGGCCAGGGGCAGCCACACCCATGATAGTGCCGTTATCAGCCCAACCCTTTTCCCAAGCGTGCATGGGAGGCTGCATGGCGCTGGGGTTGTCGCCGCGGGTCGGGGCGGCCCTGTGGCGGCATCGAGCTCAGTATCCCCTCCGTGGAGCTCCCATGTGCGGGCGCCATCTTGTGGCGAGCGCCTCTTGGGGAGCAAGTGGGACGTGGGGGCACTCGTGATCTGGGTAACGGCGCGAGTCATGCAGGCTCGTTGCCTGGCACGCCTCGCACCTGCCGCAGGACCACTTCCCGCGCTTTGTTCTCTGTGTCCCATCCCTCTTCCGCATGCCCAATGTGCTAAAATCGCATTAAGAGTCCCCCGGCTGTTGTTTTTTGCCCCCGGCCGGTGCCGGGCCTGTTTTCTCGCTGCTCAAGCTCACTCGCTCGTGTTGGTACGCTCCATTCGCGCCTGCCATTCGGCTAGGCGATGCAGGTCGTCCACGACGTGCGCTGTCAGGTGAGGCCTGGTGGACGGGGACCTCCTTTAGTCCTCCGCCTGGCCACACTCCCAGCGTGCTCCTGCTTCCTGCAGGTGTGTGGTGCAGAACTGGGGGTCGATGTCACTCGTTCCTTCTTCCGCCGTAATGCCATTTGCGGTGAGTGCCTGCCGCCGCTGGCGGGGTCCCGACCCCCGGCCGCCGACAGCGCCGCCCCCCCTTACCCCGCCTTGCCCCGCTGTGCTGCTGGGCTTGGCTTCTTGTGTCACGCGCTGCTATAAATGCATGGGCACCGTGGCGGTGGGGCTGGAGCGCAGTGAGCCGACCATGCCGCCTGCCTGCCTGCCGCAGAGGAGCATGCCCGAGCAGAGACGGTGCCAGACCCCAGCTGGAGCGGCGGCCTCATGCGCTTCTGCCAGCAGTGCACGCGGCTGCAGCCACTGGCCCAGTTCGACGGCACCCGCCGCTCCTGCCGCGCCAGCCTTTCTAAGCGGCGCATCAGGAAGCGGCCCGGCGGCAGCCCCCGCGGCGGCAAGCGTACCGCGTTGTACGCGCGGTGCGGCGGCGGCAACACCCTGCACGGCAGCAACAGCGACAGCGAGGGCAGCGGCGGCGGCCACGGCAGCAGCGACAACCTGCGCATGCAGTACGGGCCGCACCGCCACCAGCTGCCGCCGCACCCACAGTGGTACGAGGCCAGCGGCAGCGCCAGCCTGCGAAGCAGCAACTCGGAGCAGGCCATGACGTCCGGCTCGGCGCCTGCCCCGCCCAGCTGGGGAGGGCCGGCGGCAGCCGGGGCCGCGGAGCAGACGCAGCGCTGGCTTGCCGCACGCCAAGCGCCACCCCGTGGGGCGTTTCCGAGCGGGCCCGTGGCTGCCGCAGCGGCGTCAGCCCCACCGCCGGGCCCCGCCGTCGGCAGCGTTCTTGCCAACCTCAGCACAACAGACCTGCAGCGGCTTGCGTCTCTGCTGGAGCGGCTGCAAAGTGAGGAGAGGCTTGCTGGCTGAGCATGGCAGGGCCATGCCAGCTTGAGCTGGCTGCTTGCGCAGGACGGCCATGTCTTGTAAAGATCGGGCTGGTTCTGCAGCTGCCGTCTCATCCCTGAATTTCTTCTGCACTTGCAGGCCCATTGCCACAGCCGCCGCTGCAGCCGCAACAGAGCGCATACCTCGCACCCAGCCTGGCACCGCTGCTGTACCGGGCGCCGCTGCCAGCCACTGGCAGCACTGCGGCAGCACAGCTGGCCCAGATGCTGGCAGGGTTGGGGACTTCGGCCGCACACGTACGCCAGGCGCTGGCCGGTCTGGGGCCCGCAGGCGCCCTGCTCTTGCAGCAGATTGACGCCGTGTCGCAGCGGGAGCTGCAGCAGAGGCAGCAGCAGCAGGAGCAGCAGCTGCACGAGGCGCAGGCCAGGCTGGCGCAGCTGCTGCAGGCGGTGCTCGCGCCCACGGCCAGCAGCGGGCAGCAGCAGCAGCAGCAGGAGCAGCTGGTAGCTCCCCCACCTGCAGTTGGCACTGATACGCCGGCCGGGACCACCACGGATGCGGCAGCGGAGGCCAGCACCGGTGCGGCAACCGGGACCAGCGCGAGCGCAGCTGCCGGCAACAGCACCTCAGCACAGCCCGACCCTGTGCTGCAGCAGTTCTTGGGCATGCTGCTGTCTGCAGCGCAGGCACCGGCGGCCCCACAACCGTGATCACACCCTGGAAAACAGGCCCCGGCTCCTGCTCTTGTTGACAGCATGTCCTTGTGCATGCCCTAGCCGTGCAGTGACAGAAGCAACAAACAACTCCCCTTTGGCACTGCCTGGCAAATAGCCAGCCTCCCTTGCCCTACAAAAACGAAACTTTCGTCGTTTGCGCAGCTCTGAATGTGCTGCAAGCCCCTTATCCACGCAATGACGCCTTGTTACTGCCATTTTTTTTCCAATCTCTCTCAGACCTCTCTCAGCCATAGGCTATGGCGGAGGGGTAGGGGGTCTCTGCCGGCGGCGGCTGTGCGCCTTCACCCCCTACCCCAGTGAGCCACAGACCACTCTACCTGAGTCGCATGCCCCCTGCCCACCGCTCAGCACTCCTTGGTCACCCCCGTGCTTCTCGTATCCACCCTGTTGTTTTACAACCTATCTTTACAGGCAGCTCAACATCATCTCCAGCTCGTGCTGGCCTCAGGCTTCACTACTTGCCAGGCGGCTGCTGCTCCCGCCCCTGTCCCCCCCGCGTCTGTCACACCTTGGTGCATCTCCCTCCAGCAGATGCAGGAAGCTTCAGACTTCTACACATGGTATAATTCCAGTATACAGTCGGGCAAACGCTATGGAGGGTAGCGAGATAGAGGACGGCGGTGCAAGGGCGCACTGAGCGTGCGGCGGGGCGCCACCTCAGCATGCATGCAAACGAAGCCCGACATCGCCCCACCAGCCCACAGCACAATCCCAGCCAACATGGACGCCACCAGCAGCAGACGCCTAGCAGCTTTGGGCGGCCATCTGGTTTCCGCAAGCGCCGTTTCGGAGGGTGGCGGCGCCGTGGTGAATGAGCAGATGGCGGGTCTGGGCCTCAACGACACCGCCGCCACCGGCAGCGGCGTGCAGCAGGAGCTGCAACGCCTGCTGGAGCACGACAGCTTTGAGGAGCGCCGGCGGATGAAGGAGCTCATGAAGAGCGAGCTGTTCATACCGTGAGCGACGCCCGCGGGCGCTGATCGCGGCATGCACGAGCGCCGCCGCCGCCACCCGCCGCCGCCGCTGCCGCGCCATGCGTGCCAGCCTGCCTCCTCTGCCCACCTGCCCGCCGTCTGGCCCTCCGGGCCTGCCCGCCTGCAGGCGGTACGCGGTCCCGCTGGCGGAGGAGCGCGAGCTGGCGCTGCAGCGCCTGCGCGTGCTGTGCCACTCGGGCAACTTTCGAATCGAGGACTTTCGTGTCGACCCCATGCGCATCTTTGCCGCCCACGAGTGTGCCGCCTTTGCCGACCCCAGCATGGCCACCAAAATGACGGTGCAGGTGGGTGCGGGGTGTGTGGCGGGGGGTGGGGGAGGGCAGGAGAGGGCACCGTGTGGGAGGCGTGAAGGGTGCTCAGGAGGAGCCTCCAAGGGGCCGCCTCCGCCTGGGATGGTTGCACGGTGTGATCAGCGGGCGGCGCCCTGCCCGCCGGCCGCCACCCGGCCCCATGCCGCCGCCGCCTCCCGCGCCCCTCCCTCCCCCACACACAGTTCAACCTGTTTGGCGGCACCATCCTGAAGCTGGGTACGCAGCGGCACCACGACCTGCTGCTGCGCGGCATCACCTCCCTCGACGACATTGGCTGCTTTGCGCTGACGGAGCTGGGGTATGGTGCGTGGCGCTGCGATGTGGGGTATGGTGCGCGCCGCTACCCGGGCCCAGAGCGCGCCGCCCCTCCC